AGAAATGTCCTTCCTAGTAAAAGTCTCATTCAAGCCTCACTAGGTGCGTTTCCATTACAGATTTGTGGAAACTTTTGCAATATTTTATATATGTCCATAAAAAACTATTGCGAAATGACGGCGTTTCCATTCACCCATGTTATGTGACTAAAACATAATTTTCATGGTGACAGATGTTGTTAGGTTTATGTATATTGCAGCCAATGCACTAGCCATTATTTTTAATCAAAGGAGATGTATGTACGTATCTTTAGAGAAGGAGCGAGGAGAGCCGCTTCTGAAACGTGCCGTGGCGCGGCTGGTGTAAACACAAGCATTGACTAGTGTGGCCGTGTCGGAGCCGTAATGTGCCGCAGATGTATGCAGTGTAAATAAGGGGTTTTCCAAGCATTAATGGCAAGGAAAGCCCCTTATACTTGAGAGTGGCCACGAATGAGGTGTTTCTTGGAGGTTATAGTATATTAAAGAATGATCATGTGACTTTTACAAAGGTGACCTGTAAATGCAAAAAAAAAGTTTCCATTGCAGTTTTACGAAATATTCCTTTTTCAAGTTGCCTGAAAAACCACCTCGTGCGAGCGTAAAAACAATTTTTTTGTGATATATGAGGGTTTTTGTGAAATTGTCTCCATTGGGCATATTTTCAATTCCCAATTTGAAGGGTACTGGAAACGCAGCTACTGCGTCTATAATGATACAATCTGGTAAAAAAATATAAAAAAATATTAGGTTGTAAATTGCGGAAGGGATTGCAGTAATGAGAGAAATCACTCAAATAAGTAAAAAAATATATGTATTTTCAATGTTTCAAGAAACATTTTTGTTATAAATAAAAAATAATATATATATATATTAGCTTTCCTGATGAAATTGACATTTTCAGACAGCTGCAGTAACAATTTAAATGTATTAAATGTGACTGACTGTTAATAATCAAAGAAATGTGAAAAAGTATTAGCTTGACATTTTCAGACTGTTCTTGTAATTGATTAAAATTAGTAAAATCTTTATAAATGAATGCTCACAGAGTGACAGACACTATAGACCTTGTTATTAATGACTAAAAAGGAAATTTGCTGATGCAAGTCTTCAGATTTCATGTTTAAAATCTTTGAAAGCAACATTTCCTGAGAATCACTCTATTAGTACCTTATGGGAATCCATTAGGTTGGAAACAAGATCCAGA